TTGGTTCACCCTACAGAACTATTTCTTTTTAGCTTTTTCTCCTCGGCCCTAAACCACTTTGGACAAATATGATTGTCTTATGATTTTCATTCCGAATTTCTCTTTGTAACAAGGTCAAATGAATACACCGATAGCTAGAATCATACCATCTTATAAGTTTATTTTTGGCCATGTCTTAGTTGATTCAAGAATTTAATCAGCCTACGTTGTTGGTCTTCATGGTGAATACAAGTTTGCTCAAGGAAAGACCTGGCTTGCCTGAAAGTCACACCTGCCTTGTGAACCACGGGCAGCGTTTTGGTGTGGTGTAGTGTTAATGTGATCTCTGTGATCTCGGCTCACTTCAAAACTCCGTTGATGTGCTGACGAGACTTAGGCAAGGTTGAAACTGCAGTCCACCGTTTCGGAGGCATTGCAAGGTATAATTTAATGGTTCAGTGAGGCCTATTAATCGTGGAAAAAATCTTTTTTCAGCCCTCAATTTACTTCAAGATGCCTAGGGTAAATAGGCTCTAAATGTGCTCATTCTTTGCTTCAACCTTCAGCATGATTAATGAAATTTCCAATAATTGTAACGCCACTTCTTAATATCCTCAGTTTTGAGTTTTTTTGTATTTTTTTTTGTTTTTCATCCACTTTCTCTGTCCTGCTAGTATTTGTCGGTCACAGCTTTCACAACTCTGATAGTTGACAAGATATGCCATTCCTTGTGTGATGTTGGAGGACCTGATATCAATTCTAACCATGATGAACTTAAGAGTAGGCTCAATTTAGCACTGCCTTTTCTGTGCTTCTTTACTATGCGACATCACGCGACAAATTGAGTCAATTCATTTTTCGTATATTGCATATTGAAAATTATTATTTCTGCTGCGGACCAAGGGCTAACATTACTTTACCTATTTATCACGTCTATCAATAATCAGACGGTTACGGACTGCTCTAAAAATTCCTTCAAAATATATTATTTGATAGAGACTCGCTTTGCCTTTTAAGTCATTCTTGCTATATGGCTCAGCGACGATGTTTTTTGGCTTGGAAAGTAACGGTTTAATTCTAAAAAGCACATACAAGGTATGAATCAGAAGTGAGACTGACACCTTCGTCTAGCTTGTCAATATTTAATTAAGAAATGTACTGACCCTATTTCGTTCAACATGATGCAGGGCCTGTAGCAAAATTTTCCCACAATAATATTAGTAGGCATCTTGATTCCATTGAATCGTACATGGCTTTGCTTCTCAAAAGTTAACGTCATCCAGGGGCAAGTGGAGTGCAGTTTTGACCCTACACTGGTCTTACCTGCACTCCTAGTGGGTCTTTAACCTGGATTGGGGCAATGCAGTATAAAGTCTGGACACGTTAACCACTGGGCAACATTGCCAAGAGTACCCTGGAATCACAGGCCGAAGTGACTTTCTAGGAAGGCCAGGCCTTTCACCTATTACCTTTCTGTGCTGTGATTGTAGATGAAGCAAAGTTGCATTTGTTATTACAATCAATTACATTATTTTTTTTACTCAAGTAAATTTTCAAGAACTACAAAATTGGGTGAATACAATCCTTTGGTGGTCTAGAATACCTACTTATAAAGGAAAAATAAGTAATATGGTCGATTGTAATAGAAAATACTACGTTGCTTCATCGACGATCCCACAATAAAAAGTTATATGAAAAAGACCTGACCCTCCTTTAAATTCACATCTGCCCTATTACCCTAGGGCAATCAGGTAATGTTGAGTAGTTTTTAATGTGTCACTATATACACTGCACTTGCCGTTTTCAAGTCTCGCCGGGGCTGCAGCCGAGAACTGGGTGATGGCGAAACTGGAGTCCACTCCACCCTGGTTGAGAATACCTTTCGAGAAGCTATGTCATGTAATATTCAATACAAACCAGATGCCTACCAATAATATTGCGAAAAAATGCAACTGCCCGTCCTGCACAATAGTGAAACAGGGTGAATACTGTTCATATTCAAGATCTATTAGTTGTCTCAAAAACCTACATAAACAAGAAAATAAAAAATCTAGTTTCTGCAAATCCTTGGTTTCAGTTTTTGCCACAACGTACAATCAACAGTGTATTTTAAGTAAAATTTTATTTATTTCCTCCATGCCTGAGTAATTGTCCCTTCATTATCTTAGTATTTTTTGACTACCTACTATTTTACCTTTTTCACGTTTTATCATTTTGCTTGATATTTATGATAATCTGACTACTTTAATCACAGCTCTATTTATCTGTTTATCATGCAGATTTAGATTTTGGTACTTCTATTTTAGTCTATTAATCTTCAGGTCTTCTTTTGAGCATACTTTCTTAGCTAATGTGGTTGGAGTCGGCTTATTTCAAGTTGCATCACTCTATTCCTATATGCCGTTTTAAGAAATTATTTGTTAGCATATTCGTATTTTCAAAGTCCTTTTTATACCTCTCTTTTATTCTACCTTATTTCTCAGTGATATGCCTAAGTAAAGCCTTAAAATTTCCGCATGATATTTCCTTCCTTGGTGTCAGCATTTCATGTTGTAAAGCAAAAGCTAGTAGAATGGATCTTCTTTTTCCTGCGTTAAAATTGCTATTTTGATTTATTCGTCTTTCTCCCTTTGACCTTTTACTCATTCTTTTTTTTTACCTTATCATTAGCTTTCGCCATCTTCTACTTTTAAATTGTTCTCCTTCCTTTTCTTTAGGCCAAGTTCGCAAACGCACTCAAGTCAGCATGGGTACAGCTAGTGACATAACTTTAGAAGCGATTGGTGGTGACATCTCATTGCTTACGGCTAGTGTATGCAGCCCATCTGGTCGCGAAGAGCCCTGTATTCTTAAGCGAATGCCAAACAGCCGCCTTGGTAATTTTGAACTGATCACATACTTATCTACCTGCCTAAATTAGTCTACACCTTCTAAAGGTTGCTTTACAGTCATTTATTTTCGTATTTCTTACATTACATTTCGAAGATAAGTTGAGATACTTCCTTTGTAGATAGTCTAATTTTACCTTATTTATTCCGATTTTAAGAAACAGACTGATATTATAGACAGGTAATTTAAAGTTTAATAGGTTTTAAAGTGAATAAAGATTTAAAACTTCGAAATATGATTAATTTCGTTACTAAACGTTAGATGCCTAAATTTTTGGTGGATACTAATTCTTTGAGAGATCCAACATGTAAATATATGAATGCATCCGAAGAGTAGAGACTAGATAATAAATTGAATGCCATCTTACTCCTTTTAGAAGAATGCCATGGAAATATTTTAGAACGGAACGTCACCTTTTATATATCTTCTTTCAAAATTTTACAGAGTATATTTTATATGTTAATTTGTTACTCGAAGGAAAATAACTCTCTAGATAGTTTTGTATATATTGATTTTGACTTAATCTTTTTGCTTGATGACTTGCGAAATGTACCTGACTTTTTTCTGTAATTCTTATAGATGACAAGCCTGAATGCCTCTGTGCAGAAATAAACAATTTATCTGTTACAATAGCTGTCTTCACGCCGTTTGCATGGCATAATTACTTTTATATCGAATATTGAAGATCACTGTGGGAAAAATTTCCGATTACCTTCGCTTTCGCTTTATATATATATATTCCTTTGGAATATATTTTTTATAAGACTAGTATCGCAGAAATTAGTTGTCCCTTTTCATATTTAAACTTACTTTCTATTCAATAGTTAATTATACTTGAGGTAAATAAACTCAGATAATTAATTAAATTTGTTGTTTACTCCATGAGTCAACAACACCCTGTTAAAAGGCACCAAATTGTTTAGAATTTGGTTGTGGATATTGATGATAAAGGTATAGGATTGCCAGATTATTTTTTCTCATAATATTACGATAATTTGTTAACACCTATTTACCTTCATTTTTACCCATAAACTTGTCAATCACTAACTGTCTAATATTTAATTATCTTTGCTAGGCATCTCGTTTACTCCCAAAGAGGTAGGCGAGCACCTAGTCAGTGTTTATCAGGCCGGCCAACACATACCTAATAGTCCTTTACGAATCTCTGTGATGCCCAGTGAAATTGGCGATCCTCTTAGAGTCCATTGCTCTGGGTCTGGTCTTGAGCACGGAATGGCCAACCAGATGAACCAGTTTACCGTGGATACTCGACATGCCGGTAAGATTTAAACAGTGTTTCAACTAATAATAATAATGCGCAGAAAGAAACGTTTGAAACTAATAGATCTTAATATTTTGAAGGCTTTCTGGTGAAATTTAAAAAAATCTTTGGTCTTATAGTCACCCATCCCAACACTTTTCCCATTCAATGTTTAGTCTTTGTTACATCCCATATATAGCCATCGCTCAACATCCATTGGCTCAGAGATCACGTGAGTGCGTGACTAATCTTGATTCTTTATTTCGCGTCGCCTAATTAAAGATCGACACTGCATCGTCCAATCAGAAGTTGACATGGAAAACAAAGCAAGGGTACATCAAGTAGTTAACATTCTATAGAGGTTGATTGACCTTGTTTTCGCAACTTGGTCCTATTGTTAGGACGACTTAGAGGACCGTACCTAGTCCGGAGTCCATTGTATGCATGATCATTTCTAAAGTCGGACCGTGGATGTGGTACATTCACAGACGTGTCGCCGGCATCGTCAGTGAGTCTCGCCATTATAAGCACCAGATAACAACTTGTCAAAGAGACAAGTGAAGCCGATCATTTGACCAAATGTGTGATAAACAGTTGTGGTATCTCCCCTTCTGCTCTGGGCTATTCACATTTCCTATATCCTCCTATCACATCTTCACTGTTAAAATTTTTTGCCTTACTTATTCCGATGTAGTGTGCTATGCTCCTTTAAGCAACATTCATCAAAACCCTTCGCACTCCACGCTGTCGTTCTTACCCCCTTCACCCTTGTGTTGGGAATGTTAATCAGAGTCTGCCATATTGTTACTCAGTCCTCCTTCCATAGGTCTTATCACATTCTCTCTCTTGCCCCATAAGATCCGTCTGCTATATCCCTGGTTCACGTATTTCATTCGACCCCTGCCACCCCATCTGTGCTACTCGAGGCGTTATTCGCCCTTCCTTGGGTCTGGGTGACTAATTCGAGGCTAAAGCCTCTTAGTAAGTCTCATGGTCACGCCTTTGCTACAAGGACAACGTCTATGCTAAGACCTACTCTCAGCCAACTAGCTCCAGTATCCGCCGCGTCTATCCTGTTTCTATCCCTTCTAGCAAGTCTATGACTTCCCATGCCATACTCTCTTGAGTGACTACCCACAAATGTTGTGGTAATGCTTGCTTTGATTAGGTTCAATGTTGAACCACAACGTTTGTGCGTTGGCATAGCACATCATAGACTTGGTATTATAGATAGAAAGAGGATAGAAACAGTGAAAGCTAGATAATGTTGGCTAACAATAGTCGTGATTCAAGGATCACGTAAATGATAAAACGCGTCTATTGTTAGTCAAATGGCTTTAGTCTCCACCGAGGCTTTTCTATTTATATCTGTAATATCATGTATATCACTTCCTACGTCCTGGTCTCTTGTGTTAAACCACAAACGTTGTGGTTCAACATTGAACCTAATTTAAGCAAGCATTACCACAACATTTGTGGGTTGGCACTCAAGAGACTAGGGCATTTAAAGTCATAGACTTGGTATTAGGGATAGAAACAGGATAGACGCGGCGGAGACTGGAGCTAGTTGGCTGACAGTAGGTCCTACCATAGACCTTGTTTTCGTAACTTGGTCATATTGGTAGGAAGACTTAGAGGAGCGCACCTAGTCCGGAGTTCATTGTATGCATCATCATTTCCAGAGTATGACCGTGGACGAGGTACATTCCCAGACGTTTCGCCGGCATCGTCAGTGAGTCTCGCCATTCGTAGCACTATATTACAACTCG